GCTACCATGCCCGGCTGATTTTTTGATTTATTGTAGAGATGAGGTCTCGCTGCCCAGGCGGGTCTCGAACCTGCGGGCTCAGGCAATCCACTCACCTCAGCCTCCCAAAGGCGCGGGATTACAGGCTGAGCCGCCGAGCCCGGCTTTTTAAAAAATTTTTTGAGTTGGAGTCTCACTCTGTCGCCCAGACTGGAGTGCAGTGGCCACTCCCGGCCACCACAACCTCGACCTGCTGGGCTCTGGCGATCCTTCCGCCTCAGCCTTTCAAGTAGCTGGAACTACAGGCGCGCGCTACCACACTTGGCTAATTTTTTATTTATTGTAGAGATGAGTTTCGCCAAGTTGCCCAGGCGGGTCTCGAACCTGCGGGCTCAGGCATTCCACTCACCTCAGCCTCCCAAGGCGTGGGATTACAGGCTGAGCCACCGAGCCCGGCTAAATATGGCTTTCTCTGAACTTTTCAACTTTAAAAAGTATGAGAAAGGTCAGTTTTTCAGTACTGCTAACTTGACTGACTTGTTCTTTGTGGAAGGAAGGAACATTAAGTATTTAAATCATATTTCTTAAGGCTTTGGATATCAGATTTCCTTTATTCTGTTTCTTCTTCAATATAATGTTTAACAGGCACTTTTTATATGCTGTTACTTGAGTGATGTGAGATTTGGATTCCTGAAGACATCAATTTTAGCAGTGGCTGTGATACTGTTTGGATAGGTGTCTGGATTAATCTAGTTAACAATTCTTAGTACAACTTGCATAAGACAATATAACTTGCTTGCCGGTCCTCTAGTGACTTGCATCCTTTTGTGTTTCTCTCCTTGCTCTGAATAGCCTGATGGTAGCTGCTCATTGTCTTTTGTCTTAAATGCACTTGTTTGAACCACACTTAAAGTCCAAAGTCTATATTCTTGGTTTTAAAGTTTCCACTTGACAAGGTATTATCAACAGTCTACATGAAATCCTCAAGTAATAATGACTTTTCAAAGATCGATAATGACTCCTTGACCCACTTCTTAACATATTTTACCTAAAATATTAATTTAAAATGTTGTTCTTCATTGCCTCTTATTTGGAGAAGAGTTGAACCCCAGAATTCATGTAACTAGCACACTTGGATGGCCATGTGTCCTCTGAAGTCAGTTCAGTTAAAGTCTTCCTTTGGCATCATGCCTCAGCTATTCTGTGAAAATGGAAAAGGAAATTTACCTGCGAGGTGATTTTCAGGATCACTTTTGGGGTGATTCAGCTTTCCTGGTTGAGATTCTAGTTAGAATTATGATTCTGGAGGGTTCTTGCTGGGCATCTGCCCCTGCAACCTGTCTGGTAGCCTTGGGTTCACCTGGACAAGGTAGCCAGATGTGGATTCCACTCCCCACCCCTCCATTGGCCAAAGCACTCCAATGTTGTCTGTTTCATCTGTTGGGGTTCTTGGTCAGACTTAATTGACAGAAAACTTATTTAGACAAAGGAAAAAAGTTTGAAAACAGTACCTGCTCCAATCTCTTAAAATAATTAGAAATGGAGTCTCAGACAAGTTAACTCCAAGGTAACAAGAACTTTGTTAGGGCTACAGTTAGGGCTCAGGTTTCTTGGTTCCTTTCCTCCTTTGTCTCCATGGTAATATAACCATTGTAATGGCCTATATTTGCATAACACTTTATGGTTTTCCTCAGGGTCAATCACATATAGTATTATACCTAAAGTTACATAAGTGATGGGTACTGTGAAATTACTTACTATTGATCAAGAATGACTACTGATTAGCTTTGAATTAAGATTTCATTTATTTCATGTCAAAGGTGCTTTAAAATGTACATTCCTTACCAATCGAATTTAAATCATGATTAACCTCAGTTTAATTAATCTTTACAAAAATGTTTTTGGGTGTTCGGGATCAGTTTTAAGTTGAACTCTTAGGTTTATTGAATAGGAAAGGATACTAATACTGTAACTGTTTTGGAGGAAATGATTTTATAATATCTCACCTTGAATTAAGACTATCTTATAAGATAGTCTTAAAATTGACTAAACAGTTTAAGTGTTTTAACATTTAAGTGTCAAATAGAGAAATCAAACTAAATTTTGGAAAAAAGAAACGGTGTCTGATTGGAAATACGTAAACCAAACTTTCAAATGTCTTTTATTAATAAAATTAAATGTTTGACCTCAGTATTATTCTTGTGTCAAGTTAAATAATTGTACTGTTCCTTTACAGATTTGGATAAGTGAAGACAGTAACAACATTGAAGCATCAAACCAGTGGAAAGAGACTGTTAGAAATCCAGAAAAGGTTGTTACCAAGTGGCACAAATTAGATCCATCCTGAAGACTTCTTTAATTTAGTGAAGAACTTGAAATTCCTTTAGAAGACTTACAATTCCAATTTGCTACTAATGAGAAGAGACAAATCAATACACTTGTCAGTTGATTTATGGAGGCCATAATTATAAGATGTAGTAGATCTGGTAGAAAACTAAACTTGGTAAAAAAATATAATGAATTTTAGCAGATATCCCAAATGAAGGAAATGTTTTAAAACTACCAAACAGACACAGTACAATAAGAGGGTAGTATTATTAGGACATGTAAGCAAATAATACAGCCTATGAGTATATCATCCATAGATAGTTCTTTCTGCATTTTTTTTTTTTTTTTTTTGCCTTTGTTTTTTAAGCTTTACCTAGATATTCAAAACCTGGTATAGTGAGTCACTGAATGGTCGGACATTTAGAAGACTTTACCATTATTTTAGTGATTAGATCTTTGTTCTACTGTTTACCTCTTGCTACATATTTTCTCTCAGTAAAAATTAATTCAATCATTTCAACTATTTTCTATGTTTGTGAAATGCTTGTACCCTGTGTTTACCATCTCTTACTCATGAGGCATCACATTGCCATTTTGTGAGCGGTTTATCTCCAAGAAACACCAAGAAACTTCAGAAATAGAAATCACATTTTGGCAGAAACAAGTGAAAATACCAGAAGGCCAACGTTTAACTGGAAACCCAGAACACATGTATTTTGCTGTTTTCTTCAAATATTTTTACTCTGTTTTACTAGGAGTTGAAATAAGAGTATCATCCATATGGCTCATTATAACTAGCAGAATTAAATGAGTGTAAATAAGAAATTCAGTATTTTGTGATAATCATTTCCTTTTTTACAATTTTTAATTTATTCAGTAATTCACATTAGTGTAATTTTCCATGTTTTTTCATAACCATGCCTGATAATACTGTATAACAAATATTCTCTATTGCAGTTGCCTTTTGGGTCCTTATTGGAACTCAGTATATGGAGGCAATTTCAGCTTGGTTGGCTACAAGAGATATGTCTAAAAAGAACAGCGTTTTAGACAGATGACATTGTCCTTGATTTGGTAGATACTTGACTTTATTTTTTATAAAGAATAGACCCAGTGCTCTGTGATCCTGGGCTTCCATTTTTCTTCCTTTCTTTGTTATGCAGATGCCAAGAGACAGCTGCTGATGTTTCAAACCAGAAGCACACTTAGGCAGTGCCCTCTTCATTCCAATTCTTGTGTTGTGTCTCATTAACATTTTCCCAAATAAACACCTAATTCTCCATTTCCCAGGTGCCGTCTCCCCCAGCTACAAATGTACATATTTTACTTCCCCCTTGCTGCTCCCGCCCAGATCCTTGATACCAGTGGAGCTGACACTGGACATTCTGAAATGCTTTTGTTTTAGATTTGTAAAAATGGCATATAGGTCATTACTCACATGGATTTCGAAGAGAAATCATCTTGTGTGATCATGTTTTGAATCTTTGAGACAAACGCAACTATTCTTTAGTTGTTTTTTAAAAAATAGCTTTAGCCGGACTCGGTGGCTCAGCCTGTAATCCTGCGCCTTTGGGAGGCTGAGGTGAATGGATTGCCTGAGTCCGCGGGTTCGAGACCTGCCTGGGCAGCGAGACCTCATCTCTACAATAAATCAAACAATCAGCCGGGCGTGGTAGCGCACGCCTGTAATTCCGGCTACTTGGAAGGCTGAAGCGGAAGGATCACTGGAGCCCAGCAGGTCGAGGCTGTGGTGGCCAGGAGCGGCCACTGCACTCCAGTCTGGGTGACAGAGTGAAACTCCAACTCAAAAAAAAAATAAAAAATAGACTTTATTTTTTAAAGCAGTTTTAGGTTCACAGAAAAATAGGAAGGTACAGAGATCTCCCCCCTTACTCCCCCACCCCTGCGCCCCATCCCCACCTTTCACATGGTCAACATCCTGCACCAGAATGGTATACCTGTTACAACTGAGGCACCTGCACTGGCTTGTCACTTTCAGCCACAGCTCACACATCAGGGCTCCCTCAGGGTGTCATGTAGTCTACAGGTTGTGACACGTGGTGATAGGCGTCATTACATTATTACAGTATTACATGGGGTAGTCTCACTGCCCTAAAGTCCCTCTGCAAATGCAGCTACTTTAATAGGTACCAAAGACATAAATGTATGCAGTGGTGTTTCGGCAATAAATAACAGGTTTTCTTGGTTTTTAAAACCTCGAATTTTATTTTTACAGTTTTCTGTGTTAATGATTTCAATTTAGAACTTGTAATCATGTATTTTACTCGAGTTTTAATTATTTAATGTTTTTAGGATATGTGTATGATGTATAATTTGACGGAAAGCTATGACTTCATGGTTTCTTAGAATCCCAGGTAATGGAAACAATAAAAAGAAAACCTTTTCATTTTTCACAAAGTGTATCAGCTACAGCTCTCATCAGACTGGAGAAGGGACCAGTGAGATTTTGAACACATGCCACTGCTCTGAAAATGATCTGAAGTTCAGTGTGAATATAGCTGTGTGAATTTCTCTGACACTAATGTACTCAGCAGCCAGGTGAAAGTCATATTTCCCAGTAAAAGTATTCAGTTTTGTTCAAATATCTACTTACTTATGAAGGATTTCAGAAATGTGCAATAAATTTCAGCTTTTCATATCAGCAGTAATGGTGTGCGGTATTATCTGGACGTGGACTGTCTCCCCCTGTACCCGACTTCTTCCTGCCCCTCCCTCAGGGAGTGACCTCTGGCCAAGGCTGGTCTCTGAAGCATGTGTATATTCCCAAGAATGAGTCAGGGGGTGCAGGTGACCATGCAAGGCTGAAAGCAACATGGTTGTCACTTTTAAATTGAACACAGCGGGTGGAAATCTGAATGATTAGCTTGATAGCTTTTATTATAAAACTGCTTGCTATCCTGCCCGAAGTGTAGATTTTTCACTGACCTGCTGCCATCAGTGCCTCTCGTGAGTTTTGTTTTTTTTTTTTTGAGTTGGAGTCTCACTCTGTCGCCCAGACTGGAGTACAGTAGCCGCTCCCGGCCACCGCAGCCCCGACCTGCTGGGCTCCAGCAATCCTTCCGCCTCAGCTCTCGTGAGTTTTAATAAACCCACGACTCTCCCTGCTGGACCTGTGGGTGACTTCTTTGGAACAAGTAAACATTATGTGCAAGCCCTCTCCAATTTGGGGTTACCATGTTAGTCTTCTTAGACGATAAAAAGTTGTCTGATTTCATGCCAAACTAAATCACTGGGTAAGATATGTTTTTTAAATGATACTGTTTATTCAATATTGACTTTCATATTTGTATGCTGTGGGGCTTGTTTCTGGGTCACCATTCTTTAGTTTGTGAGGCAGGGGGATGATAGAAATATCTGCCTTCTATGATAGGAGATTTATTTTTCACCAGTAATAAATTTGGTTGACTGTGGCTCTAAATGTCTTTTAATTTCTGGGTCTTTTGTCTTTCTTAATGATGTATGGAATTTTGGTCTTGGAACAACAACGTTTTTAAGTGTGTCGTTTTATGATACATATTTAATAATTAAGTGCAGAGCAATCTGTGTAGCACTTCCTGCCAAGGACTGTGCCAGGTGTTTCCAGGGATGCAAGGATGAGAAGCCTTCATCGTTTACATGAGGATTTATATCTTAGGAGGGAGATAAAGCAACATAAAGCAGGATTGCAGAAAGAGCAGGATTGGGGGTATGGACACAATGCTTTAGAGCCTCAAATAAAAACTGAATTGAATGCAGCTGAAGGAATTGGGAAAGGTTTGTTGGGCCCCAACCTGAAACATATACCAAGCCATGGAGCACAGTCATTCTTCACCACTGCCCTGCCTTCCTGGCAAGCTCATTTAGCTTGTTTTGCCAGCTGACTCACTGCAAAAAGCAGTTTGTACTTCCTTCTCTCTCTAACCTTTAACCCTCCTGCTGCTTTCTTTGCTCTTAGTAGAAGATCTTGTTTCATGACTCACAAGTAAAATGCTTTCAGTCTTTCCTTCAGTTTCCTGCCACCCGCCCACCTTCTCTTCCATGATGCTGGAAAGCTGGTCCCTGCCCATGGATTCTGACCCAGCCCTCTGCATTTTCTGGACTCTCACTCAATTGTGCCCAGTCTCTCCTGTTCCTTGAGCCTCTCTGATACTACTGGATTTTTCGTTTCATCTTTCAGGCCTCCTTGATCATGGCAATCTCAGAATTGGTTGGTGCTGTGTTTGATGTAAAGAACTCTAGAGATGTACTTTTGGAGGTTGACAAAGGAACCCATGGAAACTGCAGTGGACTGAATGCTGTGACCCCCAAATTCAAATGTTGAAACCCTTATCCCAAAGTGGTGGTAGCAGGAGGTGGGGCCTCCAGGAAGTGATTGGATCATGAGGCATCAGTCATCAGGGCATTAAGGGATTAGTGCCCTTATAACAGATCCAAAGAGAGCCCTCAGCTCTCCAACCAGATGAGGTTACAGCGAGAAGATGGTTGTCCATGAGGAAGTGGCCCCACCCAAATTCAATCTGGAGGCACCTCGATGTTGGACTTGCTAGCCTCTAGGACTGTGAGGAATTCATTTTGGTTGTTTCTAAGTTGTCCAGCCTATGGTGTTTTGTTATAGTAACCTTGGACTAAGACAGAAACATCGCAGGAAGGAGGAGGTCGTCTGCCTGCTCAAGGCAAAGATCCCCTGGTCACACTACGAGTGAGCCAACGGTGGCCAGTGCAGATTCCCCGGGCACCAGAGCTGGTTCCACTCCCACAGGGGTTTCTAATTGCTACTGTCTTTCTTCCACCTGACTGTTCCCAAGCATAGCCTCTATGTCTGCCTGCTCAGTAAGTGCTAGTCACTGGTAGAAACAATCCCAGCAGATTTGTAAATACTAAGATTTTAAGTGTTGTTCACTCAATGAGTAGGAAGGTCAGTTTCTCAGTGTGGCATCGGTCACGTCACCTGTCAGGCCTCTCTGTGTGTTATTTCCTTCTTTAAATCATTCTGGGACCTCCTACCCTGTTCTAGATTCTGCCTTGTCTGGTCTCCCCTTCCTAGATAACTTTTAATGACCTCTTCTCTTGAGTCTCCCATCCTCACGGTTCCACTGAGACCCATGTTGCAGTTGTAAATGCCTTCCAGCTATATATTTCCCATCATGACTTCTCAGCTTTCTGAGCAGTAAATCTTCCCCCTGGAGCCATTTCTTCCCTTGTTTCCATGTCAGGATGTTCTGCTTATTTTCTTACTGCCTCCCTAGCCTGTGCTTTTCTTTCTTCTTGGGTTGGCTTGTCTTCATGGACCTGACCTTTAAAAATTGGGAGTTGGCAGGACTCATTTCTGGGCCATCTCTGCTTCTCTCTCTACGCTGTCTCTGGGACTCCGTTTCCATGACTTCAGATGCTCTCTAGTGTGGATGTCACATTTATATCTCTACTCAAATCTTGCTATGTGTTCTGCCATCTCATAGTTCATGTGGACCTCTCTTCTTGAACGTGTTCTAAACTAGGGGTCCCCAGTCCCCGGG